AAACGTACATACATAACATAATACACGTGTGTGTCTGTTGAGACTCGTCAGACAAGCAGGTCACGTGAACGATTCTTAATCTATAGACAAACAGGCGGAGTTTCATTCTTGTCAGTAAGGAAAGTGCTTTTACCAGAAGCAGCTTTTGTACAGTACTAATGTCAGGACAGTAAATACTGGCAGTATTTAAAGTTTTCTCTGTCACCAAGACGCCATTCTTAATTCTTTGCATTGTTTTCACTCTAATCATCACATCCCAAAATGATAAATGTTAGCATATAATCAAATTATTTTCAGTGTAATAATAAATCTGTTTTTATAAGGAGCAGTAAATCTACTCACATTCAGTTTCATATATAACCTATAATTATAATGCACTTAATTATAACACTTGGCTAGTGTTAGCATTAGCAGGAACACCTGAATTCATTAACTTATGCACCTCTGCAGCTAACAAGTCTCATGAAGATTTAAACATAAATGTGTATCAGAGCCTGACAAACTGAATGTAAGATGAAGAAAACACCACCACGTTGATTTAGTGTCTGTTGTGATGATTTCTGTCATATCACCCCTGACCTTCATCAGCATCAATAAGAAATAATCTAACAGTGTCATTTATGATCATTAGAGAACTCATTTTACTTGTCATACTTTTGTACTTTTTCTCAAGTAAAGTTTGAAGGAGTTTTTTTTAATCATTTTTCTTTGACTTAATGAAAGACAATTACAGCCTTGTTGGACTGCTTATGTGGCTGCGTACCTTCACTGCATTAGGAAACCAAATACCTCCTGGATTGATCTGGGAACAAACTGCTTCACTGAGACAGTTATTTTTAACAAGACAACATGGAAGAAGTGATAGTGACCCTGTTCTGGAGACGCGTTCATCAGCTCAGGTCTGTTGATCTTTGTGTCAGGACCAGAAAACCAGAGCAGCTGATAACCTCCTTTGGTCGGTGTGTTGGCGTCTAATCTGAGGAATGTTCGCTTCATAAATGAAGCGTTTGCGGTTCTTCGAGCGCACCAGCAGGCCTCCAAAGCAGGCCGAAGATAAACCACATAGTCATCCCAGTATAGATAAGCGTGAAGGGGAAGTGACTTTGATTAAAAAATACATCTTCATTTTGCTGTAAAGTGTCGTTTAAAGGAATTTTCCAAAATTCAGAGACTTGAACTGAAGGGTAAAAGTGACAGTTTATCGTTTTAAAGTGGTGTCAAACTATTTCTCTCAGTTTCCAGGCATCACTGCTCCCAACACAGCACATAAATTGGTGAACTGTCACTGCTACACTTTGTTTTTTTTACAGGAATTAAACCTACAAGATGCACCATGTTGATTTGTTAACATTAGAATTGCTGGTTTTTTTATTTTTACTACATTTTATCGTAGCCAAGTTGGTCGCTTTCTTGTTTTTCCAGCCATTGTGCTGAAATGAACTGTCTGCTTGGAAAAAGAACAGTTAAAAGTGAAGACAGTACAGGTTGTATTCTGGTATTTACTGCTAACTTAACATCATCTTTTAAAGTAGAAATTCTTCAGTTCAAATTGTTAATTCAATGCTTTGATTTATTTCAAAACTTTATTTCCGTGATCTGATAAAACCAAATGCAGCAAAATTGACTTTGCAACACTTATGCAGAAGCACATTTCAGTAGGAAGTATTGTTCAGTCTAATCCGTTATATTTGTCTGACTGCTATCATTAATGTGCATATCAGAATTTTACACATAAAACAGCTCATTAAATAGGATGCACTGCCAACTTGAAAAGCATTAGTGGTTAAAATGAGCTTCAAATTGCTGCTGCTGGTGAATTTAAATTAAAAATACAATATATACTGAACTCTTTAAGAGACGTGTCTGCAGCTTTTTGACTGACTTAAGTGCATTTTTCTGACTAAACTTTTCTGTAAATACGTCTTCCAGATAATATTCACTCCAGAAGGAACAACAACTGCACTTATCTTGTTTTCAGATTCCTTCTCACACATGGATTTTGGGGGGACCGACCAGACAGAAAACTGCTCCGTCAATCATCGTCACGTGTCACCTTTCTTGAGCAACACGACCCAGTCAGCCCTCTGCTTCCTCAGCAGCCAGTGCAGATGCAAGGAAACGGTGTATTTTTGGAACAAACATCGAGTATGATGCCATGTTAACTTAACCGCACAGTCATTCATCCTACATGTGACTTGACATGATGCATTACACGGATGGGTTTTGACGAATCATGTCACATTATATCACTGGTGGATTCCTGCTGCAAAAAGGAGAATTACTCAAATAAAGCTGATATTCTGCTTTTTAAAATGCATAAATAGTGGATATTTAACCTTTTTATTGCAGTTGTATTAATCATATTTTGTGTGTGCAGGTAATATGAAACTACAGCCGACAAACGAAGTGTGAAGACTGAAAATGAAGCAACAACTCATTTGGCTTTGCTTAACAGTAACAAAATCCTTCCTACCAGCGTCTCCAAAGCTCACAAGCAGGTTTTATCTTGTTTGTTCAATTAACGCCAAAACTAAATAATAAAAAAAATAACACACTGCAGATTTAGAATGAGCAAACTCTGCGGTGTCTTGGAGGTATTATTTTATGCAGGAGTAATGTAGTTAAAGCCTGTGTGGTTTGTTCTTCAAGGATCTATCTGTTACCAGGGGAATTAGGTTTCAGCTTGATGCAATAGAAACAGTTTGGGCCTGTGAGGTAAAAACTTTCAAAATACTGAGGTCAAGGTCTGGACTTTAGTCTGTGCACCGCTCTGTTCATTCTACAGACGCATAATTAGCTCAATATACATAAAATATTAGATTAAATTCACACATAATGCAAAAGAAACACTTCTTTTACGGTGGTATTTTATTCTATGTATAACCTTATTTATATGACTTTACGATTATTATTGATGCATTAACAGGTTAGCAGCATTTTAAGGCGGTCACAGGTCGAGGAGACTTGCTTTTGTATTTTGAGGTTGTTAAATCGGTAAAAGTGAATTGTATTTATTTGTTATTTTGTGTGTAAAGATCTGAAGCTGTAACTGAGATCAAATAAATGTTAAAATTGTGCTTATGTGGATTATATACATCATTTTACCCCACTGGTGTCAGATTATCACCAATAGGAAGAACAAAAACAAAGGTTTGAATGCATAAACAACTGGGCCTGATCAGAGTTCCTCAGCCTTATCAATCACGTGAGAATCGATCCTGATTGACTCAGACTGTTGGTGCCAACGGTCCTTTTGAAATCCTGATGCGATGCATATTCAAGGCCTCCCGCCATCACTGATTACATTATGCCTCTTATCTTTATTATTTACTGTATGTTAAATGTGGCAACAGTCTGACAGTGAGGGAAGAAAATGTTTTACACAAGATCCAATCTGTCAACAAGATGCTGTTTCTTTTTCCAGCAGCTCATAAAGTGCCTGACTTTGACCTGCAGTATCTCCTTTGTTGTGTAACTTTGCAGTAAACAACAGTTCGTTAGCTGCAGTTAATCAGCACATTTACATGCGGACAGGATACCAGGTCACGACTGCTGTGAATCTGGCTGAGCAGTGAGTTTGAGATTTAAATGAACTCGTTTACACTTCTGAAGGTTCCTTCATTTGTTTGCTTTAGGTTAAGATTCACTTATTTTGCAAATCCTTTTTTCAATGTCACTGTTACTTTTACGGTTGTGTAACTGCACTTCAGTCCATCTTTGGGATATTTGTATTTCCTTTTGTTCACTTTATCTTTCTACTCCATTACAACTCAGGAGCATAATGTACTTTTTACTTTACTACATTTATTTGAAAACTTTAGCAACTCCACATATTCAGATTAGCAATACAAAATATAATGAACAAATAAATTATCATGTATTATTGCAGCAGGTTGTTTTTTTAAAAATTATTTTTAATTATTAGATTAAGACACAGCTTTGTTGATACCGGGGCGAAATTCACAAACAGCTGCAAATAAAGTCATTAAAATCAGCACCACCAGCTGTAATGTGACACATGAATGCATCAATAAATATAATTCAGCAATATAATATACATTTTTCTCAAATATAGCTGTAACGATTAATCAATTTGTCATCAATTGTTAAATTAATCGCCAACTGTTTTGATAACTAACCATTTAGGGTGATTTTTGAAATGAAAAAAGTCTCATTTGCATCTTCTTAAATGTGAATATTTTCTTTTTTCTTTCATGTGGACAAAACAGGACATTTCACCTCATCCTTTTGGGCTTAATTGTCTTTATTGATTGACATTTTTTAAGTTTTTAGACATTTTGTAAACTAAACAAGTAATCAGTTAATGGAACATAAAATCTGCAGATTTATTGGCAATAGAAACAGTAACACATACAATACATTTGTACTCTTAAATAAAATCTAAATGCAAGAGTTTCACTTGTAACAATATTTCTACATTGTGATGTTGTTTTTTTATTTACTTCATACAAGATCTGAGTACTGCTTTCAGCATTGCAGCTCCAGAGACAAGGAAAAATGCTTCCGCATGACTTGTGAAAATGATTTGTCGTTGTTCCTCCGGTTGTCTTCTCAGTTTACAGTTGAAAAGCTTTCCGCAGAAGCCATATTACTCCATATTTCCAGTTACAGAAAATGGTCAGACCTGTTCCAAAGAACATCTGACACATTATTTATTAATGCTGCTACTCATTGATTCTTTTTTCTGTATGGACATTAGTTTGCACATCTAAAGTCTGATCTGATTCCCAAAAAGGTGTATTTTTCTCACCAGTCTTTTAATCATGAGCATTGTGATTCACTGTCAGACGAAACGAGTGAAATCAAAGAGCCCAGAGTTGACAAAAACAGGTTTTAAAGACTTCAATCTACACCAGTCAACACTGTCCTCTCTGCACAGGAGGGGGGAGAAATCACATGCTTCCGTGGTGACGTCACTGGGTGGGCGGGGCCCCTACGGCTATAAACAAGCCGCTGACCAATCAGCGCGCCCGGTGGGCCGTTATCCAGCTGCCATTCAAGCCTTTATAAACTTTGTGTTTCTCGGCCGAGGCTCAGTGTTTCTCCTCCTTCACCGAGAACAACAAAGAGTTTACAGTAAGTTCGGACATTTCGCTCGCTTTGTGCATCTTACAATCAAGTGTGGAACCTGAATTTAACGTATTAAGCAAAAATACAGAATAATTGCGGGGGTTTTTTATTGTTTTTTTAATGTCATTCGGTCCTAGCGTAAACACCACACCAGGGTCCGTTTTGAAAATGCTTCTTTTAGAAGTTTTTCAAATAGTTTTTTTTTTTGAGTCTTAAAAAAATATTTTTTGCGCTAATTCGCCATGTTCAGCCACCTTTTTTCATTCGGCTACCTTGGTCGTCGTCTCTTCGTGTTTGCTAAAGCAGCAGCCATTGTTAGTTTTCCCTCACCGACGCTTTAAATAAACCAGGACGAAGCTCCAGCAGCCGTGGATGCGGTGGAAAAACCTCTTTGCCGGCTAAAGTTTTGCTTTTCTTTTCGTTTTCCTGGTCGTAGTTTCGGTGCCGGCCTGTTTTTCCCTTGGCCGAGTGCCCGAGGCAGCGGATCCCGTGACTGTGCACATAACAAAAACAAGGATCGGTTCATTGTTGGGATCGGGCCAAGTTTCCGCTTCTTAAAGAGCACGAAAACGGCCTCAAAATAGGCAACAACGTCGTATTTGTTGAATTTAATACAGATAACAGTAAATTAAAACAAGGATTTTCTGGGCTTGTGTTGTGTTTCATGGCCCACTTGTGGTCGGGAAGTGACTGTACTGTCGGGAATGTGCACTGCAGCTTTAATGCGGATTTCTGTGTGAATCATTGAAATGAACAAAGTGTACTGAAGAGATCTACAACAGGAGTTACTGTGGGAAACCATGCAATGAGGGATTTAAGGCCTGATGTTTGCTTCTACACTGGATTCATCATGCTAAGAGCTTTTTTTGCTGCATTTTCTCCACCCTCCCTCTGTGAAATTTGAGCCCTCACGTGTTGCTTTCTTGTTGTTCCTTTCTCATTAGGAAACCACAACAATGCTGCCTGTAGTTGTGCTGGCCATGTGCCTGAGCTCGGTGCTCTCGGCACCAAGTCTGGACCCACAGCTGGATGACCACTGGGACCTGTGGAAGAGCTGGCACAGTAAAAAGTACCACGAGGTGATGCATTGCTTTTATGTTCCTTTAAATCGAGCCGGCGTGGTCCTGCAGGAAAAGTCTGAACGTTCCGCTTTGTGTTGCAGAGAGAGGAGGGCTGGAGGCGGATGGTGTGGGAGAAGAACTTGAAGAAGATCGAGGTGCACAACCTGGAGCACTCCATGGGCACACACTCCTACCGCCTGGGCATGAACCACTTTGGGGACATGGTAAGATTTCAACACACACAAACCATATCTTATCCGGAACAGCTTATCATGGTTCTTACAATGGTTTAGGAACCACAGCAAACCAACAAGATGAAGGCGATAACAGGCGTATAAACGTGACTGTAAGGAACAGGATAAGCAATAGAGAGTAACAGATAATCTTTGAAAAGATTAATTCAGGGGAAAAGAGACAAAAAAAACGTAAACAACAAGTAAAGATAAAATAAATCCATGTAGAGAAAAGCGGGAATAGTAGCTTAGATTGACTGAGAATCCACCAGATTTCCACCAAAACCGCACCTCAAATTCAAAACTCCAGCTGCTGCTCGATTCACACAATCATTTTCTCACTTTTATCCTTCTTCCCACAGACTCACGAGGAGTTCAGGCAACTCATGAACGGCTACAAGCACAAGACCAACAGGAAGGGGTCCCTGTTCATGGAGCCCAACTTCTTCGAGGCCCCTCGTTCTTTGGACTGGAGGGATAAGGGCTACGTCACTCCCGTTAAGGACCAGGTAACGGAGCTTTTCTCTCCTTTGTGCTCTTTTGCCTCGAGGCTCTCTGATGGCACGTTGAGCTGTCAAGGAGTGGTTTGATTTGATTTCCGTTTAGTAGTTCAGTAGGAAAGATTTGGCGGTGACAGTGTGGGAAGCTGGAGAGACACAGTTTAAATCTTGCGCAAACAAAACTTCAGCTGTTAATCAGAGCATTCTTGTCTGTCTTTTTAAAAAGTTGCATTAGCGCCTGTGCGTCACTGTCACAAGAAAAACAAACTCGCTCATTTATAGCCACAAAAAAAGAACATTAACGAATGATAAAGGGTTCGTTTGTGGCCTGCTGTTCTTGCTGAATCATGCCGACTTCCTGAAGCAGCTTATTCTCTTTAATAGAAGGCGCTCAGATGATGTAAACACTTTAATTTAAGATTACATTACAGGAGACGCTCAGCTGTTGCAGAAACGTGGTAAACACGATGATGTAGTTTGCAGCGTCACAGCTTGTTTGAAGAACACGAGGAGCGTGTCCAACGAAGTACATGTTTTTGCTTGTACAGGAAGATAAGATGGCCACTCGGAGGTTGTTTTTATTATCTGAGTGCACAGTTTGTTCTCCCCGCCCCGCGACATACATTACCACCCTGTAAGCTGAAACCAGTTCAGCCAGCTCACTGTAAAGGAGGCCGAGGTGGAGCAAACACCGTCACATACGTCAGCTGAAGCACAAAGTCCAACATGAGTCTGTTTACAGAAGAAAGCTGCTGCAATAACAAGACACAGGGCGCCATGTTTGCAACGGTGTTGAAGAAGTAAAATCAGTATTTAACACTATTATGCAAAAAGGTTTTAGCTCAATGAAAGCAGCTGGTGTAATACTGAATGTAAAATTTATTTGAAGGTCTCATCCCAGTTTTACTTCTACAGCTAAAAGGACTAAATCCAGCAAAACAAACACACTTGAGTGAATTCTTTTTGTCACCGTTTTTCTAAATATCTGCATTTAAGAAGCAAATTCTAATCCTGAGTATTTCCTGCAGCTCCAATTGATTTAAAGACATTGTTGTGTGGATGCAGTTTATTCATTTCCTTTACTGATTGATCAAATTGCCAAAGTGTGGACTGGTAAAGACAATTTTTAATGCCGGGGAACTACAGATGATGTTTTGGGTTTTATCATAAAAGACATTTTATGTGTTCATTTAATTTTTTTGAATGTTTGCAGATTCATTTTTTCTGTCAAGTGGTTCAAGATCACACAGAAAAAAAATTACAGCCGCTAAACCTTCCTTGTAGATTAGATGTCTCAGTGTTTTATTTTCAAAACTGACTTCATGTTACAGTAAAGGTGCAGCAGTTAGTCCGGCAGATGTTCTTTCTTTGCCGCCGTCCTCACCCGGCCTTCCTCTCGGCTCTGTTCAGGGTCAGTGCGGCTCCTGCTGGGCCTTCAGCACCACCGGAGCCATGGAGGGTCAAAACTTCAGGAAGACCGGCAAGATGGTGTCCCTGAGCGAGCAGAACCTGGTCGACTGCTCGCGACCGGAAGGCAACGAGGGCTGCAACGGTGGCCTGATGGACCAGGCCTTCCAGTACATCAAGGACAACCAGGGTCTGGACTCTGAGGACTCCTACCCCTACCTGGGAACGGTACGTGTCCCACCTGCCTAGGAATGAAACGGTTTGATTGGGATTAGGAGTTTTTTTAAATTAATTTTTATCACCAATCAATCTGTCATCTTGTTTTCTTGACTAAATATCTGATTTTAAAATGTTCAAATGGAAATTGTTGATCAAAAGTATTCTAGACAACAAAGTCATGTAACATCCAAAATACTCAATATTTAAAGCAGTTTTATCATTTTCTTACCATTTAAGCCATAAATTGTGGCATCTCCAGGCAATGCTTTAATTTAAACAGCTGTAATGTATTAGATGAACACACTAGATGCTCCATAGAGTCTCTTTTCTAGAACAAGATTGTGGATTCTGAGCTGAACGTCCGGCTCACCACCTCCTCCTTCTTGTCTTGCAGGACGACCAGCCGTGTCACTATGACCCTCAGTACAACTCTGCCAACGACACCGGCTTCGTGGACATCCCCAGCGGTAAAGAGCGAGCTCTGATGAAGGCCGTGGCCTCCGTGGGACCTGTTTCAGTCGCCATCGACGCCGGACACGAGTCCTTCCAGTTTTACCAGTCAGGTCAGTGCTCTGGTTTTGTGACGATGCTTTTTCATTGAGGGGGTAACACATACCATGTGAGAAACTCAAAACATGACAACGGAGAAACAATCGGATGATATGAAACAAGCTCATTGGTGATGAACTTCCAGAAAATCACCACCTGAATCCGCAGCTTCCTTCTGAGTTTAATGGAAACTTTCAGTTCATTGTTTCGCTGTTACAACTTTTTGCTGTTTAGTTTCACTGCAGCAGAATCGTAAAGCTCCAAAGCTAAACCCACATTAATTAAAAATGTTTAACTTCTGCTACGTTAACAGTTTGTCCACACGACTCCGGAGTTTTAAGACCCCCAGATGGAGACTTTCGTGCTGACCTGTTTGAATTTGAAAACTCCAGACGTTCATATTTACTTTCTAAATTGGTCTCATCACCTCAGCTTTGACTACCAGTGATTCATTCAGCATAGAGAAGGAACTCCAGTCTGTGCCGACCTTGTTGTGTATGCTAGCAGCTTAAATCTTGCATTTTATCATGCGTGGCAAACAACGTATGTGTCCAGTTATGTAAGCTTAAAGCCACATTATTATGGACAGATTAATTCCGAATTTATGTACTTGTTAGAAAAATAAAACTTATTAGTCTGTATGTAGCCTAAAACTCTAACAAGTCAGATGTTTCTCCCAGGGGGGCGGTGGAGACCAAACCTAGAGATAAGAGCGGCTTGAATTTGTGTGAAAAGTGACTCCAAATGCTGTTTAATTTAAAAAGTTCACGCCTATCGTCTTTGAGGTGATGCTATGTGGTTGTGTAGCTTGTGGCTGACTTTGGGGTTTTTTTGTGCTGCCTTTTAGGAATCTACTACGAGAAGGAGTGCAGCAGCGAGGAGCTGGACCACGGTGTGCTGGTGGTGGGCTACGGCTTCGAGGGAGAAGATGTGGACGGCAAGAAATACTGGATCGTCAAGAACAGGTCAGTTACATCTTAAAGGCGCTTCATTTAACATTCACTGTAACTGGAGAACCAACGTGTCGGACCGAAACCAGCTGGCAAACCACAGAACCGAGCAGTAACAGTATCTGAATCTGATAAGAGATATGCCTGCCAAGATAGAGGTTACTGATCTTTCCCAGTAGTTATCTATGGAGAATTATTTTTGTTTAAAGCAAATCCACTCAACTCACTTCCTGCCTGTTTTGTCATCTTGCAGCTGGAGTGAAAAGTGGGGCGACAAAGGCTACATCTACATGGCCAAGGACAGGAAGAACCACTGTGGCATCGCAACGGCGGCCAGCTACCCTCTGGTCTGAAGTGCACAGCTTCACTTTGTAGCCCCGTTAGTTTTTATTGCAATAGTTTGGCTGGAGTGGAGAGGCGAGGCTTCAGTCAGCGCGACGCATTGGCAGGAGATTCTGCGATGCTTCAACAAGGAGGAACACTGATTTTTAGGGAAAATGTCGCCTTTTTGTTTTGGCTGGTTTTTACGCCACTTTGTTGTGTCTGGACAAATTTTACTTTAGCATTTTATTTTTTTGTAAATATGTGTATGCTACTCAGTAAGTGAGATGTCAACACTTGCTTTGGTCATTGTAAATGATTTTTTTTTGTACTTTTACTGTGATCAATTAAATTTGTGAAACACTAGTTTTTGGTATTTGGACTCTTGTGTTGTTATCGCGTGTGTCCTGCTTTATTTTCAGCTCTGTGTCCGCTGGGTTTTAACAGTAACTCAGTTTATTATAAATGAAAAATGGGCTGCAAGGTGGCGCAGTGGTTGGCATTGTTGCCTCGCAGCTAGAAGATCCCCAGTACGCGTCCCGGTGAGGACACCCGGGATCTTTCTGTGTGGAGTTTACATGTTTCCGGGTTCTCCGGCTTCCTCCCACACAGTCCAAAAACATGCTGAGGTTAATTGGTGATTCTAAATTGTCCGTAGGTGTGAATGTGAGTGTGCTTGGTTGTCTGTCTCTAAGTGTAGCCCTGTGATAGACTGGTGAGGATTAAGCGGTGTATAGATACAGATGGATAAATGAAAAATCCCCACATTCAGTCAGTCATGCATGCTTTAAATTCATATTCACAAATACTCCTTGTTGCCACCATAATAAAGTCAAAGCAAACCTCCACAAAAGTTTAAATTAAACTTAAAAGAACTGCATAATTACCTGGAAATGAAGCTAATAATGCAAGATTTTCTAGGATCCTTTAAGACCAAAGCATTTGCAAAGTTTGCTTAATGTACACTAGTTAAACTTACTGTATGGAAATCAATTTTCAAACTAAATTAACTTTATGCTCATCAACAAGCCTCAGTTATAGGCTCTTGCTAATCGTACTTGCTGGTTTGATATGTGGAGCAGAGTCTCATGACAGCTGAGCTCTCTGAAGTCTGGTACTGAGATCTGACAGGATTATTGGTATTTAAACAATGGTGCTGATTCATACGGACACAGTCGCCTCTTTACTGTAGAGAAACAACACACGGCCCAGTAAATGTGCATGTAACACCCTGAAGGGGAATTCAGAGGCTTGTTGGTGTTCTCAAGCTGAAGTCCTAAAGCTACGAGGTGTTGACTAATAATCAGGTTCATAATAACTACCATCAATTATTAATGTGAGAAATGTATGATACATGTACAAAATCTAAAAAAAAATCATTATACGATGTGCATTTTTGCTTAATATAAGTCAGAGTACTGATTGATCTTGTTTGATTAATTAATACACGTGTTTTAATCGAACGTCAAGTCTGGATTTTAAAGATTCTGAGGATTTTCTGGTTATTTTTTCATGGGAAGAACTATTGTTTTTAGGGTAATGTTGCCTTTTATGGTTGATTTGATGCCTGAAAAGACTGAAGCTTAGAGTTTCTGTAAAAATATCTGCATATTGTTTGGTACATTAACGCATTTAAATATAAGATCATCTAAATATTAGTGTGTCATGTGTTTACAATTATAAGAAACAAACACTTAAAACTGTTCATTCAGATGCTTTTCACAAATTTAGTCTTCAAATTGACTTTTAAACATACACTGTTAAATCTTTGGGGATGTAGTTTAGTCTGTAAATACGTGGTCAGTGGCACAGTTTTGAAGTAATAAATGTGTAATTGAAGTGCAGACTTTTGGCTTTAATTTAAGGTGTTTAACTAAAATATTACATTAACTGTTTAGGAATCGGAGCCGTTTGTTCCACACAGTGCCTCCACTTCTACAAACAAGTTTACTGATTAGCAGATCCGTTACCACGTGTGGCCTGTTTGCTCCTTATTTCATGACATATTAAGAAGACGAAAGGTCTGGAGATGATCTCAAATGTTGAATTTGCCTCATTATGCATCCCAAAGACGACAGAAAGTAGGTGTTAGAGGAAGAGAACAGAAACTTTAAGAAAATACCAAACCAGTGCTACGGATTGATATCAAAGGCTGTGGGGTTTTTTTTTTTCTTTCACAGCTCACCTGCTCATCAGATAGATCTGCTGTACCTGTGGAGTAGAGCTCAGATGTTGGAAATCAGGCTGGCAGTTAGACTATATAAAGGTTTGCAACTCTCTTCTCAGTGGGGAGTGTGTTTCTGGAGGCAGCACCATCAGCTGGCCTCTGTGGGAAATACTGAGTTTGAGTGTCTGAGAATAAGAATTAAGTTGTTTCTTTCTTTTTCAAAACATCTCATTGAAAATAGCGACTCCTACCTAAGTTGTGTTGTGGGACATTTAGTTATTTTATCCTTCTGATAGATTCAGAGGGCAGTAGTTAGGAGAAATCCCTTCACTGCCTTTTAGAAAAACAAAGTCCTGTCCATCCAGTTTTGTTAGTTTCCCCATTTATCACTTTAGCAATCTTGTGGGTTTTTGTTTTGGTTTTTTTTTGTAGGCAATTGAGACACTCTTTAAATGAAGGACTCCACTGGTTCGCCATGGAAGACAGATAAGAGGGATTAATTCTGCATATAGTGAAGAAAAACACCTTCACAACATTGAGCCAAGTCAAGAAGACTCTCAAGGAGTTTGGTGTCTCATTGTAAAAGTCTAAAAATCAAGAGATGCCGTCATGAAAACATGCAAATGGTTTAAGTCAAGATGCAAACTACTGGTGACACTCGGGAACACAAAGGTCAGATTAGACTAGAAAACACATCCAGGACTAATGAAACCAAGATAAACTGGTTCACTGATGTTCATTGATGATGTGACGACTGGTAGGGATGAATTCTGAAGTGTATAAATCTGTACTTTCTGCTCAGATCCAGTCAAATGCTGCGACACCGATAGCGTGGCACTTTGCAGTACAAACACATAACGAGCCAGAACGTACCGTGAAGGCAACCAGAAAGCTTCTTAAGAAAAAGAATGTCCTCAAATGTCCACGTCAGTCACCTGATTTCAACCCAACTGAGCTGCTTTTCACTGCCTGAAGACAAAACTGAGGGCAGAAAAACCCACAAACAAGAAGCACTGTGGTCCATGTGTAAGTAGTTATGGATGTACTTTTGTACAGGTTACATAAAAGTGTATTATGTATTTACAGCAGAACACTTTGTGTGTCACTGGAGTGGCAATAGCTAAACGTGTGTGTTTATGTGACATGTTTACTTCACCTCTGAGTTCAGTTCGGGCTGATACGCAGAACAGAACAGCTGGAGGAATGTGTTGCTGTGTTGTTGTTGTTGTGCAACCTAAAAAAAGGCCGCAGCAGCCGGAAGGACGACTGACGGGAAGAAAGGGATTAAAGGGTCACTCCACTCAAACCACACAATCATGAACAGTAAGTTTCATTATTAGATGCTGCAGATATGGAGGATTTCCAGAAACAACAGACTGATGAAAGACCCTTAAATATTTAGCTACAACTTGAGTCTTTCACAAAACTCCTGAAAGAGTCTCTGCACATTTCTAACACCTTGAATCAAACTGTGTCCATTAATGGTATAAATATTTGATTTAAAACTATAGTCACTTAATCTGCATGCAGAACAATTTACCTATAGCAGCAAAATAACATATTTAAATCATCACATGGCGTTCTGAAGTTAATCAGAGCATTTGAAAAGTAAAGTGCATCAGTTGACTTAATGTCTTTTACCGAGGAGGTGTAGCTTTTTAAGATGTTGCTCAAAATATGGAACCCGGCTGTTCCCCGAATCAATAAAAACTCAAAAATACAAGATAAGTGAATAAAAAAAACTGTATTCTTTCTCTTCCTGGTGTCAGATTGATGTTTATATGCAACAAAACTCAGCAGATTTATCAACATCTCGCAGCTTTTCCAGAGAATTTGTCCAAATCATGTTGCTGTACTTTCTAACAACTACACAAGATTAAAATCCTTTGTTTGAGACGATATTTAAGTATGTTAAAGTTGAAAAGATTTAACATAACAAGCTCGTGTAACTCATGATGTAAACGTCCCCAAAACAACAGCTCCTTGTGATCACAGCAGCTTTGTCACGATTATGAAAACAGCACACTGTATGAATGGTCTTAACGTCCTCGGAGCTGCGGTGGCTTCAGGGGAACTTCTTGACGAAGGACAGGTACTCGTTGACGTCGTCGGGGGATCCGACCACGAAGGGGACCCGCTGGTGGAGCGCCTCTGGCTGGACGTCCAGGATCCTCTGGGTGCCGGTGGTGGCGAGGCCGCCTGCCTGCTCGATGAGGAAGGCGATGGGGTTGCACTCATACAGCAGCCGCAGCTTCAGGGAAAGATTTTGAAACGTTTCAGTGACGGGATTCGTCTTTGCATAAATAAGCAGCACAGATGGGATCAGTGTTTATGTCAAAGGTCACACAGTTCCTCATGAGCTGTTTAATTCATTCATTCTTTAAGCTTGTTTGTTGCAAGCTATTTAAATGGAAGGTTTTGCTGTTTTATTTCTTAGTCAAATGTGATATTAAATTTTAAAAAAGCAGATTAAAGTCATGCTTGTGGTTAATTGTATGTAAATGCTGGTAAGTTGCAGAACCTTAGAGCTCTGTGTGTTCTTTCTCCAGATGATCTTTATTCAGATGTATTATCTTCTGAGTCTGTTTTCTTCTCTTCTATCTACATCCAGGACTATATTTTTTTAGATATTTACAATCTGTGTTTGTGTCATCTCAAGTATCTTTACAGTAAATCTGGCGTGTTGCCTTTCTGCACGAACAACACGTGTCGCATGTTGAGGTTTTCATTTCATTTTTTTGTTCGTTTTATCTTTATCCGAATCACATTTCTAAGCCCAGAAGGTGTTTGTACAGATTCTAAAGCTGCGTGAGCCAAACTGGTGATATTGAACTACATATCACAGCCAGTTCAGGATTCACAGGTTGGCTTCTTCTGACTTTATAATTTTATCCTATCTGCCTGCTCCAAATTTGAAGTTTAAATCGTTTTCACAGACTTGCTTTTATGTTGTCTGTTTACGGCTTATTAGGGTTTTAAATGCTTTTATTATTTCCTTTGCATTCACCATTTTCCCATGAAGCCATTTTAAATGTATCATCTTTTATCTTCTGGTTCAAACTTAACTTTAATTTCACGTTACTGCCCGGCCTCCTCTTGTTAGTTCAAAAAGCCCATGGAAATAAAGTTCATTTTAATATTAAGACAAAAGCAAAGCGGACTTGACTATCAGTTGTGAAACGTTGTGTTTCAGTTTTAAAACTCCTGCTGTTGGCGGTGCTTCTGCTTTACGAGGTCATCATATCTATAGGTGGGGGAAACGTTTATAGACTTTGGCAGTGATGTTAATCATTCAGAGACCTGGTTGTGGAAGAGTTTGTGCTGCTTTTCTCGACAGTTTACAAGGTTTCATTTCCTGTTTACCGGGTTAAATTCAGATTAAAATGTGACACATTTTGGTCTCCAGGTTACACTGAGGTGCTATTTCTTAGCATGTAGCAGGTCCTGACTATGTGCTGGTATGCAGTTAAAACGAGTGTCTCTACAGGTGCTGCCCAAAGGGAACCAGTTTATCTCATTTTATGATGAACCTTTTGACAGCTGCCCATGCTGTCCTACTTCTTTTTTATGCCACTGAGTTCAAAATGTGTTATCGCCTTGTCAGTATGTCACACAAAGTTAAAGGTCACTCGTTAGGATCTGGGTCATCTTGAAAGAATTGTTCTCAGTGCTTCTGGAAACAGCTGATCACTTCACAGATTTGAATACATCAGCAATAGAATATTGTAAATAATTACAGTATGTTTGGGGTAAGTGGGTCACAGAGTCAAGCTGCCTGGAAAGAAACTGGAAAGAGGTTGAGGATTAACTTTAGAACCAGCCTCTGAGCTTTATTTATCACAAGGCAACAAAAACACCAACTCGAATTACACTACTGCGAGATCCACAAAGGTATGAGGGTTATGGGGAGCAGTAATTCTTTCTCAGTCAGAGGGGAACACGTGAAGTTGGATCTACCCTGCAGCTGAACTGGTGGGACCCTGAATCCACACACGCTGACTCCCTGGTACACGATGGCAGTTATTGTGGTTTGACTGTACAGAGCCAAGTGTTTTTGACTTGAAAATAAAAGACTGCCTTGCACTTTCATTCTTTGTGTGAATGTGTGTTCTGCACATCATAAAGTTTGCTTTAGGAAAACAGCTCATGTAGATGGTTTTAATTGGGTGAATCTGACATTAGAACATCATATTTTACGCTTTTCAGATTCATTTTTGGACCTTGTGAGCAGCTGCCCTGGATTAACCGAGTGGAGACTAGAGGCTTGTCTGTGCACAGCTGCCCAGCTAGAGTCTACTGTAGCACAAATGTGAGGCCTTTACAAGCAGATGTGCAGTAAGTGAAGAGCTTTGGGTACAATTTTATGTATATTTTGCTTTAAAGAGACAAACTGAATTCGGGTAAAGGCTATGCAGAGATTAGCAGAAAACTTCGCACAACATGGAGGTGAAAGCAGGGCTCGGTTTATATATAAAATATTTAAATAATAGTGATTGTAATTTTAATCATGCTGTAAACTGTGTAGCTCTAATGGTGGTCATGATTTTAGACTTTGAGGTGAAAGTCCAGCCATGATGTCACTGTACAATCTGTAGCCATCTGTAGAAATATTGGATTTAAATCTTTATTTCTTTTTCCCAAAGAAATGCTTCATCATTCTAGGCAGAAAGTGGATTAAGATATGACCAGCAGCTAGAGCTGCATATTTTTAGGTTTGCATGTGACACACAATGTCACTGAATCACAGTTTAACATGTGGAGATAAGAGGCTTTTTATCGTCTATATTTTACATTAAAAAAGAAGATTATTGGTTGTTTTTAAGCAGTACATGATCCTGTGAGTGTGTGAAGCCGACACAAAACACCGGCACTCCCTTGGTGAGTGCCTACCTTTCCTTTGGGGCTCTTCTCATTGGCCGGATACATGAAGATGCCTCCGTAGGCGATGGTGCGATGAACGTCTGAGACCATTGACCCAACGTATCGAGCTCCATACGGGGAGCTGCCGTCCTGCAGGAGAACACGGGTCAGATGTTGGTGTTGTTGAAGAGTTCAGCTTGGTGTTTGACTTGTTCACAACCCATTCTTACTGATTACTGATTTCATTTACCCAAAGGACACAGGTTTTATGTTTATAAGTTGTTGAAAATGATCAAAGGCTAACAAAAGATAGCATTGAATGAAGTCTTGTTTACTTCACCATTAATCACATATTCACCACTTTAAACTCCACTTTTCATAATTATAGAGTATATTTTTATCAAGGTAAAGTTCTCACATCCCTTGTTTTTGGTAAATAAAAGAAGAATTCGTAGAAACTCACGTTTATTTTACTCAAAGGATTGTGTCAAAAAAAAGGTAATGTTTTGGTATTTTGGTAGAAACTGAGATATTTTAATGGATTACATCTTTGCAGTGTTTCACATTCTCAAACCACTAATGCCGTTTATTCAACTCTCAGCTGTTCAGTACTTCAAAAAAACACTTTGGTTGGAAAACATCAAACTGCACAGAGTGTTTTTCCCCCCAAATTAAAAGCTGATTAGTGATGATGAAAGGACTGTCTGAATATTTATTAGCTGAACTGGCTGTCTTATAATTCAGAGATACAAAAGGTTCTGTTCTCCGGCTCTCAGCAGAAACGCACACACAATGCATTCAGTCACTTCTAAAAACGGATGTTACGTAAAACTGTCTTGTGCTTTTGCAACTTTTAACAAAACCCATGCAAATCTTATAAAGTTGTTTAAATCTTAAAACTGAGTCACTGAGTTTGGTCAAAATAAAAAAGAAAAAAGATTTCTTTCTGCCTGACAAATGAGCTGTACCAGAGATTTCTTGATTATAATGATAAACATTTTTTTAGAAAACCTGTTATTCCTATGTGCTCTTCTTCCACCACTGTGGGACCCTGCATACACTGACATGAAAATATGCAAAGGCTTTGATTTATTCATCAGTTCATTATTTCCACTCACTCATTTCCTAACCACAGTGTTGCAACATTACTTGTGAATTAGCAAAACACAAATGTTTGCTTTATAAATGCAGGATTTTATACTTATTAATGTTTGAAAACCATCTGCATTGCTTGCTGCTTTTAAGAGACAACATACAATTACATTTTGAAAGAAAGCTGGTTTGCTCACAAATACTTGAACACAAATTGTTATTAATTTTAATGGAGAAGGGTAACAAAGCTCATTTAAAATTTCACTGAAATTAAGCAAACAAAGTTGTAAAAATTTTGATGTTCTTTGGATTCTTCTATTTAAAAAAAATAAATCAAACATGTAGTTGCTCGGCGCAGTTGCACTGTTGCCTCGCAGCAAGAAGGTCGCTGGTTCGCGTCCCGGTGGGGGCACCGGAATCTTTCTGTGTGGAGTCTCCATGTTCTCCCCGTGCAGTGTGGGTTCTCTCCGGGTTCTCCGGCTTCCTCCCACACAGTCCAAAAACATGTTGAGGTTAATTGGTGATTCTAAATTGTCCGTAGGTGTGAATGTGAGTGTGCTTGGTTGTCTGTCTCTAAGTGTAACCCTGTGATAGACTGGTGACCTGTCCAGGGTGTCCCCTGCCTTTGCCCTAAGTCGGCTGGGATAGACTCCAGCCCCCCATGACCCTAATGAGGATTAAGCGGTGTATAGATGATGGATGTAGTTGCTCATTTATGCATGCACAGGCTTTTTTTTGTCAATGAGAACAAACTGTACCATTTAGTAATCACAGTATTGTGACATGATTTGGCAACTGGTTTCTGATATTCATGCCTTTTAATACAAATGTTTGCTTCATAAATGTAAGATTTCATATTTTTAATATTGAAAAACCTTCTACATTTCTTTTTGCTTTTGAGACACAACACGCAAAATTGCATTTCAGTATGAAAGCGAGCTTGTTTGCTCTCAAATAATTCAGCAAATTGTGGTTCTGAGGGGTTGAAGCAGCCAGTTTTAACACAAATTATAATTACGTATGGCTATAAATAAGTTTTAATCGTGCAAGGACATTTGAAAGCAGCAGCTGCTTCTGTGCTGTGACCTGCTGATGAGGTAAAACTCAACAGCAAACAACAAGCAGGTCAAAGTCTGCAGCTGCTGGGACATACGCTAACCTGAGGAAGGCTGTAAACAAGCTGCTTCACATCAGAGTCTCAACTTTCACAGAGTAAAAACTCCACTTTTGATAGTTTCACTTGCGGATAACACAAGTTTCATTATTTACCTACTCTTTAAAATGTATTTTCACCATGTTTCATTCAGTGATTCCACATTTCACTGTTCAACAGACCAACCTCGTGAGATAAATCCACCTGCAGCATGCGGTGGAGTTACCCTGAAGTGAGCTGCGTGTTCAGACCGGCCCAACGTGATGCAGAGTCATGTGCCCGCTGAGTCACATCCCATCATCATAAGGGAGGGGCGTGAAACAGTGTGCTGTGCTCATAGTGTTTCCCAAAACTGACCCTCCCAAATTCAACACACACTCAGAAAAAGAAAAAAAAAAAAAAGTCCAGCTGGTCTTACGGGAGACTACGTCCTAAAATAAAGCAAGAGAAATGAAAAAGAAAGCACAGAAGTGGTATCTCAAGAGACTGTGGGAAAGTTTCTGAGGGTGAACTGTATATGAAAATGACCTTAAGCTGTAAAAGCTGATAAGTGCTGACAGGTCAGCTGCTGGAGTGATGATACGGAGGCACTGATCAGGTCGTGCTCACCTGACTTTGTAAAAGTTTGTTTTTTCAAGGTGAATATTTCAGCAGCTAGCAACTTGCTTCTCGTTCATACCAGAACACATTTGACTTTCTACTGCAGCTCTGTAATAAAGAATGAAGGTTTATCTTCAGGAAAAGTTCACTTTTATTTCTATTTTTCATGACTCTGATGCTTGATCACCATCCAGCTTCTCGTAACCTGCAGCGTTTCGACCAGCAGGTTGGAAGTGACTCACTTAACAAAACACTTCACATTTGCACTCAGTTTAAACTTCCCCGTGGGTCTTTTTTACAAACATTTGCATTCTAGCTCAACCTTGTGATACAAGTTTTTGCTGTTTCACAACTTGCAACACAAGCGTCAGTGAGCAACTCTGTGGTTTCTGATGCATTGTGCTGCGTCATGACGATGGCGTGAACTGTAACATGAACTGTAACGCAATGTCCAGCTTTTTATTTTTACACCTAAAACACAAGTTGTACAAAATTTCCTTTTACAAGTGTGTATATATAGGAGTGCAACTAATGATTACATTGTTGGACGGTTATTTTTGTTGGATCTAAGAAAATGTCAGAAAATGGTGAAAAATGTTGTTTCCCAAATTCCAAGACAACAAATGTTTTGTTTTGTCCACAACCCAGAGATGTTCAGTTTCCTGCAGCTGATCTGAACAGTTTCTATGGATGTTCACTTTTCCCCCCCATTTTTTGGACTCAGTGCTCCAATCAAAGACATAAACTCTACAGAGCTGTGTCTGGACCTCAAACTATAGGTTGAAGCACTGACTCAACCACAAAGGAGTGGATGATTTTGGTGAGTAGCACTGAGTCAAAGGTCCCATGGTAGTCTAGCCATGAGTTCTCTGCATAGACTGATTTAAATCTTGTTTTTCCACCAAAACAAATACTTTAGTATTCAGTGCAGAAAGTACACTTCTGTCAGCACACAGAAATTATAGTTTAAGATGCAGCCAGCTTGCCTAGACTCCCTGAAGACTGTCTGGAACCAAGATCTCAGGATGTGCATGTCAAATACTGATCTCCTGAATATAAAGTAGGGCGAACCCATCTCAGTCACTGATTCCTCCTAACTCCCAGTTAATCCAAAAAATTAGCGACGAGGCGGCGCTAAAATGGGTCATGTAAATATCTCTGGGCATCTGACTGTCCTATGATAGTAGCAACCTGCCATTTAGACTGAACACATCCTTAAATATGCCCAACTTTAACCCTTAACACAACTGAAATAAGCGAGTTGTATAAAAATTCACCCCCTGTACAGTCGTTATGAACAAGGAAATTAGCTGTACGGACCAGAACTGTTTTTGTACCAGGCTGTAAAAATGTTTATTTCTGCTGTAAAGTTGAACATTTTAACATGGAGGTCTTTGGGGAGGTCTGCAGAGTCAGCCTCAAGTGGCCATTTCAGGAACTGCAGTTTTTGGCACTTCATCAATGGACTCTGCTAATAATTTCAAACCCACGAGGCAAATTCCAAAGCACAGCTTTTTTTTTTGGTATATGGGCAAAAAGGCTGATTATATGTGACTGAGGTCAATCCACTTGTAGAACATTCAAGGATTTCCGTACCAGCGTTTCAGCAAACCCATCACCGATGAAAAGGATGCTGATGACCCAACAAACAGCAGCGTGATGTTTGTGACTGTGCAGGAGAAGTGCTGACTGTGCACATGCGTGTGGACATCAGAGTTTCCAGATGAGCAGCTGCAGTTTCCTGAGGAACAGGACGTTTCCTGCAGTAAATGTGTCGCCATCCTGCAGCTCAGCTGATCGACCCTCGGTTCTGTCTGACCGAACTGTCACGCTCGGCTGACTGGCAGTCACATGTTCTGTTCAGGTCATAGCCACGGTGCTACCTGGCTGCACGAAGCCTCACTTTAACCTCTGAAATGCAAGATTTTGACCTTAAACCTTATTGCAGCAGTTAAGCTTTACGTTTAAACTGTGTCTGAAATTGCTTCTTGTTAGCTACTGCACTTCAGCATGGTTATGTCTCATTTAAAAGTTTAAAACAACTGTCAAATACTAGTAATCAGCCATTTATCTCGCAGTGACTCTGGCTGTTCGGGCTGCAGTAAACTACACGATCAAGCAACTAGATTTTAACTTCACTAGTGTTTGCTGTTGCACTGAAAATTACTTTAACAAAGAGACAAAAACAGATTTAAAGTAAGACATCTATAACTTAGTTTTTAACTTTGTCTGTGGTCAAGAAATATTTAAAGAGCTCAGCTGTTTTTGTCTCATCCTACCAGAGCAAACGTTGCATCGGGACTCACATGATGAGTGTGAGAGGCCTGATGTTTGAAATCCTGCCTCAGGAAGTTCAGCAGTGAGCCAGCAAAACAGACGCTCCGTGGGTCACTAAGGCTTGTTTCTATTGTTCAGCTCCAGTTAAAGGTGTCACATTTAAAACCACAAACTGACTAAAGTCACACCTCTGACTCCGATTAAGTTGGACGCCTGGCATCTATGTGTCAGATGTAGGGCTGCAATTTACAATTATTTGCATTGTTGATCATTTTCTCCATTATTCAATTCGGGTTTTTTTGTCAGAAATGGGTGAAAGATGTCAGTCAGTGGTTTCCAAAGCCCAAAATGACGTCCTTAAATGTTTTATCGTTCACAACGCAAAGAGATTCAGTTTACTGTCAAATGTCAGGTGTTCTCTGTGAGTTGTGTGATTCGGTGACATGCTCTCACCTCGGGGTACTTCTTGTGCTTGAGGTATTCGTTGATGGAGGGGTGGAAGTATTTTGCGTAGCCCTCGTTCAGACTGTAGATTTTCCCTTTCTGCTTGATCTTCACGTTTCTTTCGATCAGGATGAACTCACCAATGGCCTGATGAGGAAGAATAAAAGAAGATATACACAAAAATGTGCCACTTTAAATACAAATCCAGGTAACAGTGGAGGAATTCAATGAACAAAGGTGGGAAATTGCACAAAACCTGCTTAAGGCAACATTTATACACCAAATCATGAAAATGATGTATTAAGAGGATTCCAGTGTAAGAGAAAACACACTTATATAAAGAGAGAACAGCACAGTACATGCTCTGTCTTATAAATACATTAGAACAACATTAGTCTGTTTAGGCTTGAACGTCTCTTATGGTTTGTGAACTGACTGCTTGGAAACAGCAAAAGACTGTTTTTTCTTATATCTCTGGATGCACAACAACAACAAGCTTGCTGACAAAAATATATTGAACATTTCCCCCCTTATAATAACTACAGATAAGGTAAATTCCCAATAAATATGACATATTTACCTTGTATAAATTACTATTAGTGGGTAAAACTAAATCTGGAACAGCCAGAATATGACACAGGAAGTCATGTGAGTGTGAAAGATTAACGCCTGACTGTAAAGAATGATGAAATAATGATAAGAGGGGCGAATGATAAGGGCAAAACCACCGATACATATTTAAAAGCAGGTTAAATCTTTATTCTATTGTAAAATTTAGGATAATTTTTGCCTTAGGCCTCTACAACACATAATATATTTTACACTTATGTATATATATATATATAACTATAACACCATATTTACACAACAGATAAGGCTGCAGACACTTCCTGCCACATATAAGAGGATTTATGTGTGTTTATAGTCCTCTGTATCTTTGATTACACTGTGGCAATGTGCTGCATATAGAAATCATTAACAGGATATTGTCTGTTTTTGCAAATAAAGTCTGTTACGGGGCAATAAAACCATATAAAAGTAAAAATACGGCTGCAAGATGTGCAAAAAGATTATAATATTATGGAAATACCACCACAGTGCGTCACCTCTGGCATTAATAGAGAGCAGGTTAAGTGAACTGAGTGACTCACAGGGTCGAGCATGAAGAAGTTGAGGCCCGCACCGGTGCTGAGGGCCACAAGGGTGGCGCTGCCGTAGAGGGCGTAGCCGGCACACACGATGTTATTACCCGGCTGCAGGGCGTCCTTCTCTGTGGGCTCATCCTCTGATATCTGAATGTCACGAGGTTGGGAATAAAGCAGCAAATGCAAGACAATAAAAATCAGAGGGCAGAGGGATCCGGCAAAGTAATACGTCTCCAGACACAGCAAACCTACAAGCGCCCACTTAAAGAAGCATGATATCAGTCCAGGAGATATGTGAAAATGAGGTTTACTTTTTCATAAAAGCATTAAAAAAAATTTAACATTTTACTGTTTCTCAATAACTAAATCATACATTTTGTATCACACCTACGAACATGACAACACAGAAAAGCTCTCCACTGAGGCCTTATACAACATCATAAACTGTTCAGATGAAGAGTTAATGATGAAATCAGAGATGTGAGGAGAAAATTGTACAATCTGAGAACCTCAACTAGAGTTCATAAGGTCATTCTTTTCCTCTCTTTACAGTCACTGTATTGTCAGAGTCAATGAACAGAAGCATTAAGCTTTTAAAAAGCTACACAACATGCAAGCAACAGACATGACATTATCAAGTCTAGTTTAGGTTCTCAGAAGGACAATCCAGTCATATGAGCTGAGGAAAGCCAAAGAATTCTGTTCATTTACTCTGTTTATGTTTGCATTTGAATCATAAGAATTATGGTGTGAACAGCTGTGGAGGCCTAAAAGTTGGCATCAAAATGTTTAACAGGTGAAAAATCTAAATAAAGCAGAGGGGGTTTCTGCACCTTGGAGACAGCGTGTAGACGGCTGCAGCTTTGTGTTGTGGTTTGTTTAAAACAGGCTGTGGTTCTGAACAGGATTACATTCCTCTCTAACTGCAGTTCAACCAGCTGAAGCCTGGATTATCTGGACAGCAGCGCCCTCTTGTGTCTGTAGGGCGTTACTGCACCTCCATCCTGTCACAAACGTTCACACCTCTGATAAAATTAGAAGAATGTAGCTACGCAACAGTGTTTGCTATTATTTAGACAAATAACTGCATTTGTCTCCTGCTTCTTCTTTTTTTTTTTTCTTGAACAAATATATTATTTTATCTGCATGTTTGTGAATGTAAAAATGAATAAAATATAATTAATCCTTTTAATAAAACACATGAAATCAGGAGTGAAAATTGACAATGAGCTGCCAACAAATAATCAATTAACAACATTTTAAAAGCACAGCACTAAATCCAAACAGATAGCTGCTACGTGAAGTGAAAACAGTTTTTCTGCAGGATTTTGTTTGCTTAATGCGTCACTGTTTGTTTACTACGTCTTGAGTGAGCTTCTTGACCGTTGGACCCCTGTTGTATACTTTAAAAAAAATTTTGATTAAATAAGGAATCCTCTTTACTTTTTGATTCAGCAGCAGCAATAATGAACATATTGGGATATCAGGTTATTCCTTTTGCCAACACTTTGCTTTGTGTGTTTCATGACTCACCCGTTTGTAGATGGCGAATATGGTGCCGATAGAAGCCAAGCAGTCGATGTTACTGGAGCCATCCAGAGGGTCGAAACAGACCACATACTTCCCCTGTGGTCAAATAAAATCACACCAAGAAGCTTTTAAAAATTAGAAAATTATGTATTTTTATATTTAAAAAATTCCGTACAATGTCGTCATGTTTGTTATTCTTTGTGTGTATTTTCTTAAATTGAATGTTAGTGACCCAGTAAACAGCATCCCAGTTGTTAGTTGTGACCTGATATTAGCTCACCTGGTACCTTTGGCGGCAAATTGTGAATAATTAACAGGTTGTTCAATACGAGGGCAGCCTGTGATTTCATTCAATACGCAATATTAGTTCAGTAGACACAGTAGGAGGACTGTAGTCAGGTGTTTGGGAGTGTTTTTAGGGGGTGTTTTGCTCTGTAATAATGCCCAGTGTTCTCAAAAATCAAAAGAAGTGGAGCATCTTAAATATTGTTATTGTATAAATGGTAGTAAAGACGCGACCCGACTCCGGATAAGCGGGAGAAGATGGATGGATGGATGGATGGATGGATGGATGGATGGTAGTAAAGACAGGAGCAAACTACACATTAGAACTACCAGTCTGCCTTACATGCACATACATACAGTAAGGCAGGGGTGTCCAATCCTGGTCCTCGAGAGCCACAGTCCTGCATGTTTTAGATGTTTCCTTCTTCCAACACACCTGATTCAAATGATCAGGATCATTATCAGGCTTCTGCAGAGCTTGATGATGAGCTGATCATTGGAATCAGGTGTGTTGGAAGAAGGAAACATCTAAAACATGCAGGATTAAGGCCCTCGAGGACCAGGACTGGACACCCCTGCAGTCAGGTCTATTAGAAAGTAAGCAGCTGCTGTTGTGATAAACAGGGATGCACTGTGTTAGATTATTTCAAAGTGAGATATGCTTATATTTTCTAACTAATTTTACCAGTACATGCATGTTTGTTCTCCATCTTAAATGCAGATGACATGAAGTTATTCCTGTAATGGAATCAACATATTATATCTACTCCTGTAGTGATGGCCTTCTGACTATGTAGACATACAACTAAATATTTTTTTAACTGTAAACTTTTAGCCAGACTGGATAAATGTGCCTGTTAATGTTCATTCTGGGCCGATGCTGCCTGATACCATTGTGCATCCCACTCGTTAAAGAACAAACAACCACACCTTATGCTACAGTAGTTGGCCAACAGTTGCAGTAGCGTGATGAATTGTTAAATTTAAGTACTGCGCATTGATGTATAAGGAATAGTTTTGGATCAGGGTGTCTGGTTCACTGTGTGTATAATGTAGATATTCTACTAATAATTGTCCCAGAAATCTTCTGATGTGAATCCATCTGTGGATTCTTTGAGCTGCATCTTGTAAAGTCACACTTTGCAGGAAAACTTTGCAAGTGGAAGTAATGAGACTCTTTAGCCAGAGATCATTGAAAGGACATTTTCAGGAGATTAAATTAAAAGGGACACATTTCCCTGCCAGCATCAAACTTTCGTGCACTAAATTCTTGACTGTTTTAACTTGAAGCTTGAAAATAATTAGGATCCACCACCATAGCAGCTACATAGAGTAATTCTGGCATCCCTCAAAGAGGCTTAGCCAGCACCACAGAATATGAACAGGATGATAAGAGCAGTTCAATTTTTAAACCAGTGTTGTTATTTGTGGTTTAATTTACTCAAGCATAAGAACCGTTTTTGTCAGAAATAATAGGAAAATGCATCAGTAACATCAAATACGACAACACAGGATCCTCTCCTGCTGTTATTGTACTCTACGCTAACCAGTCATGCCTACTGTTGTGCAAAGCCAACCACCATAGACCCGCTCTGAGGTAAAAACCCTACAATGTTGTTTCCATTCCCAGTAAAACACCAGCGTGCACCAGTTTACCCTCTTGTCCTTTGGGGTGATGATGAGCTCCTTGTTCTCCTCAGACACCAAGCAGCAGGTGCCGTAGGAGGCCCGCAGCATGTTGATGACCAGGTCGTTGGACAGCACGTCCAGCTTCTTCACGTCATCCCCCGTCACGTTCACAGAGCCGGCCAGGCCCTGCCTGCACGGACCAACCAGCAGCTGAGCTTCAGCCACACATTTAAAACTTTCCAGCAAAAGAAATTCAGCAACTCATAAATGCAAGATAAACAGACACCTTCCATCAGGGGACACAAACAACAAGAAAGTGGATTATAACTACCTTTGTCCCTCAGAAACGTCCACTTTAATTAAAATGCTCACTGCAGCAGACCTCACTTGTGAATGCCAATTATCTTCATTTTGTGTCAGCTGATGATTCGTGCTCGGTTACATAACTGAAACAGAATAATGATGCATTCTTCTGGAGCTGGCACTGCTTCATTTTTCAGTGTTGCTGCATGAGGAAGTTGCAGGAGGCTCATTTTTACTGGAACTCAGCTCAGTAGTGCTCTAATATTTAAAACCCCGGTGCCTCATGAGCTGCATCCACAGCCCAGAGAAAACGGCAACTGCTGCCCTGCAGTAAAGCCGACAACCCTCCAAAGTCAATAGCTTAAACAAAGAACTGGTTATTGTGCTACTTTTCTACAATCACGAAAAGCTGCACCATCTTTTGTTACTCCAAGATTAGAGTGTTGAAATGAGCCTCAATCGTACAAAGCTGCGTACACTGGAGCAGCACGACCTCTACTGGGCCCATTGTTTAGTGTTGAAATTGGAACTGATCCATCTGTGACAACTTGAACAGGAACACAAACATACTCATTGCTCCTAAATGTGCTTTGGGGTGAATAAAATGTCAAATATCCCCATTGACCTCCACTACCAGCTCTTCTGCAGCTGCCCTTGACCTTTCCATGGAGGGATGCAAACAGGACAAGTCTTACAAAGCTCGACAGATGAGTTTAATAAATCAGAATCAGGTATGGAATTTGCACAGTAGTCTTTGTTTTGCTATTTTCAGTCAGTTATGTAAAGCTCCATACACATCAATGCTCCACAGCCAGCTGGTTTCAATACCTCCGTACTTACAGGTGGGCCAGACCTGCCTTTCTCACAGCAGAGGAAATGGCTTTGATGGCGGTGAGCATGGCGTTGATGAGCTGCGTCAGCTCACCGGTCGCCCCCTTTGCCTGGCGCCCGGTCTCCATGACAAACCGGGTCAGGGTCCACACGTCCGTGTCGAAGGCCGACTGGTCCGACATGCCGGCTCCCGGTTCCTGCGGCGTACCTGTTGGGAAGCAGACTGCGTGTTGGCCCGGCGGAGGACGGGCAAGCAAGTGAGCGACCTCATTACCAGCCACGTCCTTTTCATTCCCGGAGAGGCGAAGGCAAGCCAAGGGGATCTATTTGTGAGTGCAGCCGAGTGGAGGAGCGAGGGTGGGTGTATTTGGAGATGGACGGGTGTCGGGTGTCAGCTGTGGAGACTGGAGCAGTTAAATCCTACGCAGCTCTTCAATTCATCTGGTCACAAAGTTTGCAAGATGTTTGACCACAGAAACTCAAGACTTGAGCAACATTAGAGCTGTAAGGAAAGTTTCTCAGTGTTTAACCACATTTGTTTGCACATGAACTTAAGAACGGTTCTGTGGCAATAGAGGAACAACTTCACACTTTATTGTTCACCACATGAACCTGGAACCAGCATTCTTAGCAAATCCTGTTTACTTTAAGGTAAAGACATCCTGTTTAGAACAGAGCTACATTTTGAAGGTTTAAATTCATTTCACACTTACGACAGCAATATAACCCTGCAATCCATTACTTTTCATAATATATTATATCAGGTGCTACATGTATGATTCAGTTCGAGGTTTCATTCATTATCTCACATGATGTGTCCTACAACGCTACATAGCACTTTTGAGATGTGAATAAAACTTTTTGGTTTTAATATTAGGAGAGGAGAAGCACAACAAGCTCAAGTGAGGTTTAAATGTCATCAGGACACTGTGAGCTTCAGCTGACCTTTATCTTAAAGGTTGACTCCAATGGATTAAGTGTCTCTAAACTTTTATAGATGGTAATGTCCTCCAGCGTTTTCATTTTCAAAATAATATTTTAAGGGAATTAAAAACTTGGCATCTTGGACACTTTTTTTGTAAAAGTCGCAACGGCAATCACATTAGGTCAGGTCTGGTATTATGTCTGTATCACTGAACACAGCACAAATCCTAACTGCATATTGTTGTATTAACGGATAGGCAAGTTATACACTTCAAGCTATGTACAGTGATTCTAGGAAGACTTTTTCCACATTTTAACAACAATATTGGTCCAAAAATATCACCAGTTGGTGTGCCAAGATAACTTTCTCATTCATTTATACAATTTCACATTTGTTACAAACTGTAATGTCTACAGCTCAGATTAAGGAATATCACCAATAATGAATGCAGGTTATGATAAAACTTTAGTTTGTTGCTTTCCTCTACGTTTACTAAACACCTGCAGCACCAAGCAGCAGCAGGATCCATACGAGCGCTTCCAATGTGAGAGAGTTCTGCACATATTTACACATTTGGAAAAACAGCTGTAACGTCATTAATCGTTCATAAATGATCCCAGACATGGAGACAGGGTTGATCAGTGTTTACCTGTAAGTCACACTGTAAAGAGTTCCCACACAATTTACAAGCTGCAGACAAATCATATGATACGTAGCGGTTGTCCTCCGGTTGTTGGGATGTAAACGCACGACTAAACTACATGTTTGTGAGCATTGTAAAATGACAAAAACACTGATTTTTATCTTCACAGACTCATTTTAATTTATCAAGACATCATTCCAAACAGTAGTTTTTGTCACATATAAATGCATCAAGTTTTGTTGCACAGAGGTTGCATTTGGTCCTTCACACATCTAGAATGAATGTTCATTCTAATTAAGGCACGATTGAAGGTAAACTTTTTTTTTTGGCACGGTTTTCTTCATCTTTGGTAGTTTTTCTGGAATGTGTGCGTTTAAGCTTATGAACTACAGTCTTCATGTGTCCACTGAACCCCGTTCAGCCTTCTACAAGTAGAACATGAACAATGCTGGTTTGGAATGAAAACCTTGTACCCCCAAATTTAACTCTTGTCAAAATCTCTTTACATTTTTGGTCTTAAGAAACATTTTAAAACCACATTAAAAAAAAGCCATCAAAAGAACATTTACATCAAGCTCAATGTGAGCCCCTCTTCTTCACTTCCTGAACAGCACACAGTTTGGAGATACAAGGTTTTTTGTTGTTGTTGCAGGGGGACGGTTGTGAGAGTGAGTCAGTGTGGTCTCACTTCTTGGCATGTTTCTTGCAGATGGCGATGTACTCCAGGACATCATCAGGGGAGCCCATGGCTACGGGAGAGCGCTCGTGGATGGACTGGGGCTGGATGTCCAGGATGTTCTCGTAGCCGGTGGAGGCCATGCCGCCCGCCTGCTCCATGATGAAGGCCATGGGGTTTCCCTCGTACAGCAGCCGCAGCTTTGAATGAGAAGGCAGGTTAAGTCTCCTGATCTGATGTTGCAGTCTTCAAAAATAAATCTCTAGCTTAAAAATGTGTTCTATATTTATGAGGCTGAATATTTTAGCATTTTGAACTTTGTCAGTTTTAATATTATACCTCTCTACTTTTAACCGGGAACAGGTAGAAGATGGGTTCAAACAAAAGTCATGTATAAAAACCAGAACAGGTTTTGCAATCGTTCCTCCCATTCATCAAGAGATCAGCTCATAATGTGACTTAAAAGTAAACACAAAATTCACAGCCTGCTCATAAATACTTAAATACTAAATTCCCTCAAGAAACACCTTGTCTTTTAACCTTTCTTTCGCGCAGATTTTAAGCTTTATTATATATTTTATTGGAATATGTCACTATCTCCTCATTTTAATTCCATTGCAACTTTTAAAATCTGGAATTTGCAAGAAATAAATCTAATGTTTGCACTGAGTTTAATTTTTTTTTTAAAAAGCCTTTAGTAGTGCATAGTTTTTTAATTTACCCAGAATGCCTTGAATTATTTCATATTATTAATATTTGCTGTGACTACTGACTCTAAAGAGCACTTTTTTATGGATTGCTCATCAATCAAAGACATTAAGTTTTCAGTTTTTTTTTCCCATCAATGGATATATTATTGATTTGATCAGACTGCAAAAATCAAATAATTAAAAATCAATTATTAGCTGGTTGTTTTATTTTTGGAGAATGCAGCTATTTGAATGACCGTTACTGTTGGGAGATTGCTTAAAAAAAGCTCAGTCAGTGCTTCAAACTTTTTAAAACTGATTGGCATTTGTATGATATCTTATAAAATCTCGTAAATGGTTCATTTGCTTCTTTTTAATGTTTTATTGTTGCACCTTGTGACACACTTTTGAAAAGTTCTATAGAAATAGTCACCGATACCCTCCGACTTCTCTCAAACATATTGCAAAACAACAATGTTTAACATCTTTGGTGTGCCAATCTAAAGTTTGGCCCAGTCTTGCAAATAGTGAAGGATGTGGAGAGTGAAGAAACAGATTGTGACACATTCTTCAGTATAACCTCGAGAGTCAGACTGAACAAAGAATTGAAACATCTAATGAAACGGCTCACTGTTGGACTTTTGATGAATAAACTGTATATTCTGTAGCAGCATATGACTGCGAGGTGAGAACAGACAAGCTCAAGAAACTGGAAAATACTGAGAGACAAATAAGCACATTATAGGTTTTTGGTATTTTCACAGGTTTTGCTGACACCAAACCAAAGCACGGATATTACAATCCTTATCCTTTGAGTTTGTTTAAACTTGGGCAGCTGTGGCTCAGGTGGTAGAGCGAGTTGGTCAATGATCGGAAGGTCGGCGGTTTGATTCTGCCCTGTAACCTGTGTTATGGTCATTGTGTCCTTGGGCAAGACACTTTACCCACCTTGCCTGGTGTGAATGTGTATGAATGGATTGTTTGAGGTGGTGGTCGGAGGTGTACAATGGCAGCCACACCTCTGTCAGTCTGCCCCAGTGCGGCTGTGGCTACAATCGTAGCTTACCACCACCCAAATGAATGTGTGTGAATGAATAATTGACAGTGTGAAGCGTCTTTGAGTGCCTAGAAGAGCGCTATATAAATCTGATCGATTATTATTAATTATTTTTAAATGTGGGAGCAGGAGGCAGACGCAACCAGAATTTTTACAAAAATAGAGGTTGAGTGCAAACATTGCAAATCTGCATGTCAAAGCTCAAGAACCAACATTGCAGATAATCTAAAAAGTTTTTTGTTACCAGCTCAGTATAAAATAACCAGAGAGAAATGATAAAAATCTAGTATTTGCAGCAAAATATATGTTTATTTATAGGTCATTTAGGCTAGCAAGTAAAGCATAGTGAACTGTGGTCTTCATAGTTAATCAGAGATAACGTGCAGATTTTTTTTCCCCTGTGATCAATCGATTTGTTGAAGTGTAGGAACAAATTCAGTTGAGACCCTACCTTTCCATCAGGGTTCTTCACATTTCCTGGGTATAAAAAGATTCCTCCATACATCAGCGTTCGGTGGACGTCTGCCACCATAGAGCCGACGTAGCGGGCGTTGTAGGGATGACTGCCATCCTGAAATGATTGAAAATGTTAGCGACAAGCGCAAAAATAAAAACATCATATTCGTGTGACACTCACATCTCACCCAGATGAAAACAACTCAATTTTGGTCAGTTTTGGAACATTAACAAAATTGTGTACATTGATTAATGGACTTTATTTCAAATAAACAAACAACAGCAAAAGCTACCTTTTAAATTCAGTTAAACTCTTTTGTGTTTGGTTTATATTGACTGACACACAGAGGGATGCTCTGAACAGCTGGTTGCTGCTTTAAAGTCAGCACTGAGGAACAAGGGATTTGCCTGACTATTGTTGTTTATTATTATTAATATTTTAAATGATTCTTTGCTTTGAGTATTACCTGAGGGTACTGCTTTTTCTTCACGTACTCCAAGACAGCAGGGTCAAAGAACTTTGCATAGCCTTCATTCAAGCTGTAAATCTTGCCTCGCTTCTTGATCTTCACATCGCGCTCCACCAGGATAAACTCACCAATTGCCTGATGAGCAAAAAGCAGATGTGTTTATTATAAAATCAATTTGTGATACTTTCGTGCGGACTAGACAGGGCCTTTGAAAAAGTACTAACTGGGTCGAGCATGAAGCAGTTGACTCCTCGGCCAATGGAAAGCACGATCATGGTGGCGCTGCCGTACAGGGCGTAACCGGCGGCAACAAGGTTTCTGCCCGGCTGCAGAGCGTCCTTCTCACAGGGTTCATCATCTGTGGTCTGAGGAAAACCGTATAAATTAACTTCAGTGGTGCAACTTTATCATCCACAACAATACAAAGGGTAAGAAACCTTTTAATTAACAGCTGATATTTGCTTGTGTTCATCTGTAACCGTAATAAAAGGCTAATTGATCCACCCTGTTTGTTTTTCTCTTGCAAATACATCTTTCTTCACATTTCCCTTTTAGTTCACCATCTAAATGAAGTGGTTCTCCTTCAAAAGCAGTTGCACATCTTACATTTTAACCCTCTAAGCTGTAAATTCCATCTGAAAAACATCCCCGGGCCAGAATTAACAATCTCGTGCTCTTTAAATAAAATACACTTGGGAGATTTTCGAATACAATAACTCTCCTTAACCCTATCTCTGCCTAAAGAACTGCCTCATAAGCAGTGACTGATATTATTAAACCTGTTCCAAAAATTCTCAACTACAAATCTCCCAAATTGGATCTATCAGCTATGAAGCACTACAAATTCTACATTCATTTTAGCCATATTAGTACCAGGCAGCCTCTTCAGTTCACACTTTCCAACCTTTAAAAAAAATGGAACCGTTTGTGTTTTTGTAATATATGGATTTTTTAAAACCTGGATAACACAATTCTGGCTGGTAATGTCATGTCAGTGTGACAACTTCAGCCTAAGTGACGTGTAATTCAACTTTACAAACTAAAGAAATAATTACTGAACTACATTTGTCATCATTTAAATACTTCCTTATGGGAATTTAAACCTGTGTTGGTACCTTTTTGTAAATGGAAAAGATGGTTCCGATGGAGACGAGGCAGTCGATGTTGGAGGAGCCGTCCAAAGGATCAAAGCACACGATGTATTTACCCTGAAAGAGCAGGAAAAATGCTAGAAATGACTCATATAGCTACATAAAGCAACAAATAAATAGGAGTTTTTGTCATCAATTGCAACATTAAAGGATCAGTTTGAAAATAAGGAAGGGGATTTCATCATACAGCTTTGTCAGGAAATGAAAAGTTAAATAGTTATATAAGAAAGGGCTCCTGACAAACGTACATTCACCAAGAGAAGACTGGATGATCCGGTTTTAGTTTTTAGAGATGAGATCCAAAATGAATGAAAGCAGGTTTTTCAAGCTCAGTTGGATCCCAAACTAACCTTGGATGTTACCATCAGTAACAAAGATCCTTTAACATACACGTTTATTTTTTCTCCATGTGGTTGCTCAGTCACACTCACCCTTGTTTCTGGCTCCACGATGATGGCTTTTTCGTTCTCCTCAGACACCAGCACACAGGAGGTGAATGATGACTTGAGCATGTTGATGACCAGATCATTGGACAGGATGTCCAGCTTCTTCACCTGGTCGCCGGTCACGTTGGTGCTGCCAGAAATGCCGTAACTGAAAAGACACAAACATGAAAATATCAGCAGGTGTTTAACTGCAGTAACAAACCAATAATTCTAATTCTGTAACACTTTTTGTGGCTCATTTTGGCATCTCAGAATCAATTCTGCTGTAGTTGTAATTTTGTGTTCCTCGGGATGCAAATAGCTAAAAAATCACCATCACTTCTCTCCAGTTTAGTGCAACTGATGCATGACTTTGCATTTCTCAGCTGCACTGCTTAGCTGGTGATTGAGTCAAGTGTTGCATCAACAACAGAAGTGGAGTATGATTCACAATCAGACTTGGCAAACAAACATTTTGTAGATAAACAAGATTTCTGCTCACAAAGGTGCCATGAAAACAATAAAACAAACACAATTTTAGAATACTACATTAGCTCACATAAACCTAACCACAAAATATAAGACGGTAGATGAGTTAAAATAAACAAATATAGAATGTAATGACGGTAAAATAGGAACAAATGTAAAATATTAAAACTCAAAAGCACGCAGGAGTAGCAGAACAGAAATGGATTTGTCTTGCACATGTTTTTTTTTTTACTGGATTATGGCAAAAACAAAACATGATTAATCCAGTAGTTGTTGAATACTGATTTAGTCTTTAACCATTTTATTAGCTGATTAATTGGTTTGAGTGAGGGAAAAAAAGTAAGAATTTTATAATTCCAGCCTTTAAAATGTTAATATTTTCTGGGGTTTTTTGGCTTGCTCTAGGACAACAAACTGAATATCTTTGGTTTGACCTTTCTCACAATTTGCTCAAGTGACCAAACAACTAATGGATTAGTTGCATCCTCCCGACAAAATGGGCGTGATGTTTCCAGGTATGAGTTTCCTGATTGGCTCACAGAGAACCTGGACATCCTGCAAAGTTTGTGCCAACGTGGATGCAGTGGAGTGGAGTACTAGTCGCAACAATACTAAAATAAACTAATACCATGCGCGCAGCCACTGTTACTTCTACTCGGTGGGGTTGTGAACTCACAGATGGGCGATCCCAGCTTTACGCACGGCGCTGGAGATGGCCTTCACCGCGGTGCACAGCGAGTTGAGCAGCGCGGTCAGCTCCCCGGTGCCCTTCGCCTTCCTGCCCTCCTCCATGACGAAGCGGGTCACGGTGACCACGTTGGTGTCGAACTGGCCCTGGTCGGACATGGTGGCGGTCGGTCTCCAGAGTAGAAGCTGGAGGAGGAAACGCTGCAGGACTTAAATGCGCTGCAACGCGGAACTGAGCGGAGGGAGTGAAGGCGGAGAGGCCAATCCAGAGCTGCAGCAGAGGTGTGGCCCCCGCTGGAAACAACACCCGCTTTGTACATACTGAGCAGATAGTGATGAAATGATAGTGTTAGCAATGCAGGGATGTGACTAGAATAATAGGAGCAGCACATGCCTGGCTTAAAACCAGCCTTGTGCAATAAAGGTGGTGTACTTTTCAGCACCGCAGCCATTGTTCTTTCCCTCCTCTGATAGTGTGCGTTTACTTTATTTTAACCCTTGAAGAAATGAATTTTAACCTTTTTTTTTTTTTTTTCAACTTTTACCCTAAATTAGGGGTGGGCGATACTGCGAAATTAGGTATTGATCCCAAGTAAATACAGAACCAGTATTTCTGGTACCGATACCGATACTTTTAACGCACAAAAGCAGCTTATCTGCTTTCACGTAGAACAATGCGTCATCATTTATTAAGTGGATGCACCATGAATTTGCACATTTGAATGAAAAAAAAAAAAAAGATTTCCATTATGATTGAAGGATTTTGTGGTTTTGCTTTTAATTAGTTATGTCAGTTACGTGAGCGAGAGGAGAGAAGTGAGGAGAGGAGAGACATGAAGAGAGAAGTGAGGAAGAGGAGAGACATGAGGAGAGAAGTGAGGAAGAGGAGAGATGAGAGGAGAGATGTGAGAAGAGAAGAGAGGAGAAAAGTGAGGAAGAGGAGAGATGAGAGAAGAGAAGAGAAGAGAGGAGAGATGTGAGGAGATAAGTGAGAAAGAGGAGACAGGAGAGGAGAAGAGAGGAGAGATGTGAGGAGACAAGTGAGAAAGAGGAGAGGAGAGGAGAAGACAGATGTGAGGAGACAAGTGAGAAAGAGGAGAGAGGAGAGGAGAGGAGAGATGTGAGAAGAGAAGAGAGGAGA